GCAGAGAGGACAGAAAACACATGGGAAGATCGTTATTTTTATAAACAAGAGGATTGGAGTATGATAGTCTATTGTTCTGTCATTTGATCCTGTCCAGGGATTTTAGGTGGGCGTTCTTTACTTCAAGAGCTCATCTGCGTCGGCCTGCGGTCTGGAGAGACCCGGGTTCGGTTCCCGCTAAGGGCATGTACTTCGGTTGCAGTTTGTCCCCGGCCATGGTTGGTCGTGCGGGTGGCAGCCACTCGATGTGTTCCTTTCACATTGATGTTTCTCTCTCTCTCTGTTTCCCTCTCTCCCTCCCACTCTACCTGAACAAAATGGAAAAATGTCCTCGGGTGAGGATAAAAAAAAAAAAAAAGAGCTCATCTGTTTGGGCCCCAAATCTTGGAAGCAAGCTGTCTGCTTCATGATGGCATCTCCTTCTGGAGGCTCACTGAAAATCAGCAGCTTGGGTCACTCAGAGGTTTGGATTTCTAATAAAACATTTGTCATTGTAAAGACCAATCAGAAAGAATATATGCACTTCGATATTCATATCAGCATTATTTACAATAGCTAAGATCTGGAAACAACCCAAGTACCCATCTGAAGATGAGGAGTTAAAAAAAAGCTGTGGTACATTTACACAACGGAATAATACATGGCCATAAAACTAAAGGAACTCTTACCTTTTATGACAACATGGAGAGTATTGTGCTAAGTGAAATAAGCCAGTCAGAGAAAGACAAGTATCACATGATCTCACTTATATGTGGAATGTAATGAACAAAATAAACCAACAAAATAAAACCAGAGGCATGGATACATGGATACACTGACAATTTTCAGGGGGCTGGGGGTGGAAGGAACTGGATAAAAGAATGTGAAGAGAGCTCAGCCACTGTGGCTCAGTGGTTGAGCATTGACCCATGCACCAAGAGGTCACTGGTTTGATTCCTGGTCAGGGCACATGCCCAGGGAGGGGCATGCAGGAGGCAGTCAATCAATGTTCTCTCTCATTGATGTTTCTATCTCTCTCTTCTTCTCTCTCTCTCTCTCTCTCTCCCTCTCTCTCTCTCTGTAATATCAATAAAGAAAAAATTTTTTAAAAGGATGTGAAGAGATTAATCAAAGAACATATATGCATAACCCATGGCCAGAGATAACAGTGTGGTGATGACCAGAGGGGACGGGGAGGGGAACTGGGTGAAGGTGGGCAATGGGGAGGTAATGGGGACATCTGTAATGGTGTCAACAATAAAAATAAAGTTATAACTAAAAAATTGTCATTGTGAAACGAGTTCAGGGATCAATTCTGTGATGTTTTCCTACTGCATGTGGTTAAGTATATTTGGTAAGGTCTTTTCCCATGGTGTTCAAGGAAAGTCTTCCTTTGGCGTCTTTTCCATGACATCAAGTACTCAGATTTAAGATTGTGCAGGGCTAGAAGGTGTATGTTAGTGGAAGGCATCTTGATTCCATTGCTAGCATGACAGTGTACTGAGTTAGTCCTTTGAAATATTTGACTAAGTTCGTTTTATGGAGGTTTGAGCTCAAGATTAGTGTGGAAATGCCAACTTCATGAGTCTGGAGAAAAATATAAGGCCAAGAAACCTAGATATAGAACTTTAGGGTAACTAAAAGGTCTCAGATAGTCTGATTAACTTCATAATTAAATATCTCATTTGTCTTTCGAACTTTCCCAGAATTTAAGAATAATAAGGGGAAGGAAGATTTTGTGGAAGAGGCAAGGTGGTACATAGTTCTTGGATGACACTTTCAACAAAATAAGACCAGCTGCCCGTAGACACAAATTGGGATAGTTCTTTGCTTTACAGAGAAAAGTCTTCTTTCCACCAGAGAACAGATTATTATGTGCACACATTCATAGCACATAAAAGGAGTCCATTTTATAAAATTGATTTTAAGGTGTCCAAAGGGTCCCTTAGTACAAGACAGAGAAGGCTCCCACCAGTGGCCAACAGTATATCACAGGTCCTCTGCCAGGCCACACTTAAGGGAACAGCGCCTCTTTGTGGTTGGAAAGCTGTAACCGGTCCTGTACCTCTGCAGCAGGACAGCTGAGGGTGCCTTGGAGGACACTGCTGGCTTTCGTCTAGCCCTGGTAAGGAGAGCAAGAGATGCCGCTGCTCTGAAAGAAGTCTCTTCAGCCGAGTCTGTAAATTCCCAGCCAAGGAACTTTTATTTATCCCATCAGAAAACAGCTCAGATTCAAAACCTGCCATCAACATGCTCCTCACCCTCATCGACCCCAGCACAAATCTTACTGAGAGTCTGTTTGTCATAAAACTTGTGCCCAAGAGGCCAACCTCTACCCCGGAGAACCCACCGTGTAGGAGAAGAAAACAATAGCTAGATCAATGGATGAAAAGATATTGCTATATACAAATGGAAAGCTTTGGGTTAGTAATATATTAATCGAACAAACAGGCTTTTATTCAGTTGTTTATATCTTAGTTCTTTCCAAAGAAATGGTTTAGGTTACAATATTTGAATCACCTTATAGAGAGATGCCTTATAGGAAAGGACCCTTAAATGAGCACACGTGGCTTGGGAGCCAGAAGTTGAAGGGCTCCTGATTCTCGAGAGGGAGGTGGCTGTGCAAGTCACTGTCACTCACTGAGGCTGCTCCCGTGGTTCTGCTGGAAGGAGAGAGATTTCTTGTAGGCAGTGGCTGGGCAGTTCTGCAAAAATAGTCTGGTTCTCAATCCCAGATGGCAAAAGATGGGCTTCTTCAGAGGAAGAGCAAGACATGGGAGACAAATACAGAATGAAACACAAACTGGTCACACACCAGAAACTGAAGAGCATGCAGGGAAGGTCTGCTAACCAGGACAGCAGGTTGACATCGCCTAATGGCCACAGTAAAGGGAAGACAGAGGGCTCTCTGTAGTTGCGGCTGCCCCTCTGGAGCATGCCATCCTGCCCCGCATGTTCAGAAAGTGGGGCTCCTGGGAAGTGTGCCCACAGCCTGGAGCACTGGTGTAGACACAGCTATTGGAACTCCAGAGGCAGAAACTTGGTCTTTCTCCTGGGGCCACACTGTCAGGAGTACATGGGGGACAGCCTCTTCCCTGTGGCCCAGGCTTCCTTCTGAAAAACAGTGGCACCCAATGACCCCTACGGTTATTGGTTCCTGGACTGTGGGCCTCATAAGTTCTCATCCCCAGAGAGCATGTGACCTGGTAGTTGGATGCCCGGAATTTAAATCCCATCTCTGGCTGTATGACTAGGTTCATTCCTGCCTGAATCCCAGGCTCCCAGTGGTGCAAAGCAGGGGTGAAAACAGGTCACCTGTCCATCCCTTCCTGCTGGAACATTCTAGGTATCTAAGCTGGCTTTTTGCTCCTATGCCTGTGCTGTTCCCACCGTCATTGCTTCCCGATTCCAAATGGGTGTTGCTTGTGCCCAATGCAGGGAGGCTGGGAGGAGACTATAGCTGCCATTATATAGCAGGTGGTAATGTCACACACGGGCATAGAGAAGACCTCAAATGCACCCTTGTGCTTGTACATTTTCTTTGCCAGGTCAGAAACAGAAAAGATGGAAAAAAGACTGTCTTTCTCCCATCCACCTGTGATCCTCTGACTGTCACTTTCCAAGGGGAATCTGTGTGCCTAAGTTACTAAGTTTCTAAGTGGGGTGCGGGGCGGGGGGCTCTTAGGCAGTCTCTGCAGCCTACTCTTCTGGTTTCCCCCACCTTTCTAATGAATGGCTAATTAGCATGGAAAAGACTGTTTTAGTGAGACAGTTCTCAAAAGTTCTCTCCAAAGTTCTTCAACAGCTATACAAAGATTATAAAGGGAACTCAAGTTCCGAGGTCAGAGGTCACAAGCTTTTTCTGAAACAGCCAGAGAGTGAAGGGCTTGTGGTTTCTGTTGAAACTCCAGGTGTCTCCTCATAGTTTGACAGCAGTCATGGTATGTAAACAAATAGGTGTGGTTGTATTCTAAACTTGACTTGTGGAAACCAAGGTGTGTGTTTCGTATAACTGTCATGTATTAGGCTCCGAGGTCTTGCTCAGCCCTCCATAAGCAAGAGGCCCAGAGAACCCCGGCAGCCTGGGCTCTCCCAGAGAGGATCTGAGGCTCCGAAGCTCCGAGGATCACAGGCTAGGCCTATACACCTGGCTGGGCTGGACTACAGGCTTGACCAAGGATTCAGCTCCCAGCTGTTGTAGCTCCTCCCGCTCTGTAACTCTCAGAGCCAGAGTTTCTTTATATAGACTGAAATCCCTGCCCCGGATCCCTGATTGGTCCCTTCTCAAGCAAATGAAGACTCCAAATCCTTGCAGTTTGCTTGGTTCAAAAGGCACTGTCCTGATTAGTCAGAATAGAGCCACTCTGGCTGGTAGAGCTGAGCAGCTCCCCTTGGAAGCGGCGGGCCTCAGGCCTATGGGTTGGAATGGGATGCCAGGGCTCCTCCATGAGGCTGGCTCCGCTGGCCGGGGCCTCGTGGGCAGGCGCAGTGCCGTTGCGGCGCGGAGGTCGCGAGCCCAGCAGTTTCCTGACCCGCCTCGCCGAGGGTCTGGGTCGTGAGGGTTCGGAATCCGGCGGGCGGCTCGGCCCGTCCTGAAACCGCGGCGTCCTCGGTGAGCCCACGGCGCTGCCCCCGCGGCTGCCTGAGACCCGGGAGGCCCCTTCCTGGCGCTGGTGCTCGAGGCGGAGGCGCCGGGGCGGAGGCCCTGCTGGGACGCCAAGGCCGAGGAATGCCCGGGGGCGTGGCTGGCGGGCCCGGGCTGGACCTCAGCGCGCAGGGTGCTCCTCAGCCGTCCGTCCTGGGGAACCGGACCCGTGGAGCCCGGGCGGGGCTGGAGCGCGGGTCCTGGGCGCCGTCCTCGCACCTCCGGCCGCCGGCCCAGCGCAGGTCAGGGGCAGGGAGACGGCCCGGGCGGCGGGGAGAGCCCGGAAGCCAGGGGGCGCTCTAGGCTTTTCCTGCAAAGTTGAAACCGAGCCGCCGCCTTTCGCGCCTCCCCGGCCGGTGTCGCAAAGGCCCGCGGCCGTGCGCAGAGGCGTCTCCCGAGGAGACCGTGCCCTGCGGCTCTCCTGGGCCCTTGGCAGTGGCGTTCTCGTCTTCCTGATCCCTAGGGTCCGTCGGCATGAATCCCGTCGTCGTGGTCCACGGTGGGGGAGCCAGCCACATCTCCAAGGACCGCAGAGAGCTGGTGCACCGGGGCATCATTCGCGCCGCCACCGCGGGTTACAACATCCTCAAGCGGGGGGGCAGCGCGGTCGACGCTGTGGAAGGGGCCGTGACCGTCCTGGAAGACGATCCCGAGTTCAACGCAGGTACATTTGCACCGCGACTAGTCAGGTCAGGCGTCTCCCCCAGAATAACTGGCCTTCCTCGGGTTCCCTGAATGTAATCAGCTTTGCGGTAGAAAATATGCTCAAGAGACAAGATGGTTCTCTTATTACCGGTTGACCAAGTTGCTTTAAGAATTTTTAAACCTTTCCACCCCCCTTTTTTTTTCTTTAACCTGCTTCCTAGAATTCACATCCCAGGAGGCTTTGTTATTACATCTTTGGGGCGGGGGGGACTACATACCATAAACTGTCCATTTTAAGTTTTGAAAAATGTGTGATACACCTGCGTAATCACACCACAATCCAGATTTAAAACATTTCCATCACCCCCAAAAGTTGTTTCATGCTGCGTTGCTGTTAACCTCTCCCTCAAATCCCTAGCATCAGGTATCCATTGATTTGCTTCTGTTCCTATAGGTTAATCTGCATTCTCTAGAATTTCGTGTAAATGCAGTCATGCAGAATGTATTCTTTTGTGTTTGCCTTCTTTCACTCAGTTGATTGGTCATAATAAGCATAATAAGCATAATTGTGACTGCCTAGTATGTACCAAACAGTCATCTGAGAAATTTGCATGATTAGCTCATTTAATCTGTACTATAATAGTTTTATGAGTTAGATGTAATTATTATGCTCATTTCTCAGATGAGAAAACTAAGGCACAAAAAGGTTAAGTAACTTGCTGGAAGATACTCAATTTCCTCCTTATTTTAAAATAGAAACCCTAAATTCTAGGGATAAAAATACTTCTTGGAATTATGCCATCCACCGATCATCTGTTAGGGAAAAGAATTTCGGGAAATCTTAACCAGTTAGTCATCAACTATTTACTGAGTGTCCGTTCTGTCCCTTGCCTTTGCTAAGCCCTCTTTAATATTTATGCAAAACTTCATAAATCAGCCTGACCATGGAATGAGGCATAACTGTGTTTTTATGGCTGTTTGTTGAGCCAGAATGTACTAGATGATTCTCCTCACCAGCAGGAGCAGCAGCAGCCTGTGCTGTTTCAGTGGGGCCTCTTGGCTGACAAACCCCCACAAACTCACGAAAGACCTTCACTGGAGCAGGGGGTTCTGGTCCGCTACCTTGTCTAATAGGCTCCATCATCTGTGTGGATTAGGGAACTGGGTCTGCTATTTAGCACATTGAGAGAGGGAAAAGCAGGGCTGAAAAGAAGGAAATCAAAGATGCGGAGAGGAGAAAAGGGGGGATTTTAACAGCACACTGTCTACCCTGAGCCTTTTTGCCATCTGCTTTTCCCAGCCGAGGTCAATACAAGCAAATGATTTCTGGCAGCCTCCATTATAATCCTTTAGAATAACTATTTAGGAACGTCCTAAAAAAAACTGACTCTGGGTAGTTACTGAGCTAGGTGGCAATAATAAGCATAGTGACAGTTTGTCTGAATGCTTATAACAACTTTGTTTACATTGTATTCACTCAATATGGATTTCACTTTATGTTTAAAGCTTATTTCATAATACCTAGTTTATTAAAATTAAATTAGAAACCAACACTGTAAAAATTGAATTTTTAGTTAGAGTGGTAGAAATATTCTATACACACTTCTATTGGCAACCAAATAATGACCATTTGCGTTCACTGGATTTGAGAAGTATTTACACAGAACTTTAACTAGTTAATTTATTCTCCCTAGAATTCAATTTTATAAGCTGACAAAGAGTCTTTGAGATACCAGGATTTTTATGGATCCACCCTCTGTGAAGTACCAGGTTTAGAATCCACTAGCCTAATGTCATATAATTTTTTTGGTAATCCTCACCCGAGGATATTTTTCTATTTATCTTCAGATAGAGTGAGAGGGAGAGAAAGGGAGAGAAATATCGACGTGAGAGAGACACATCGACTGGTTGCCTTCCGCACAACCCCAACCAGGGCTAGGGACAAACCGCAACTAAGTTATGTGCCCTTGGCTGGAATCGAACCCAAGACTCATTGGTCTGCAGGCCAATGCTGAGCCAAACTGGCCAGGGTGAATATCATATAATTTTAATGGGGTTTCTTTAGTGTCATTTTTACATACAGTAGAAATCCCCTTTTTCAGTATGCAGTTCCACAAATGTGATAAGCATAGTCATTTTTAACAAATGTTTGTATGTGGTGTGAGGTATGTATCAAGGCTCAGTTTCTGCATAATTGTTCCCAGCATCAGCTGTCGAAAAGGTAATTCATTCTCCATTGGCTCGCCCTTTCACCCTTGTCAAAAATCTAGTGACTTTATATGCATGAGTCTATTTCTGGACTCTTTTATTCCATTGCTCTATGTGTGTCTTTTTACCAATACCACATTGTCTTTGTTATTGTACTTTTATATTGTATTAAAATTAGATAGTAAGAGTCTTCCAAGTCTACTGTTTTTTTCATGATTGCTTTGGCTATTCTGGTCCCTTTGCCTTTCCCACAAATTTGACAATCATCTTGTCAGTTTCTACCCAAAAAAATTCTACTAGAATTTTGAGTAGGAGTGTATTGAATCTATAGATCAGTTTGGAGAGAATTAAAATCTTTATACTGAGCTTTTCAATTCATGAACACAGTATATATTTCCACCTACTTAGATATTTGATTTCTGTTATCAGTGTTTCATAGTTTTCAGCATACATATGTTATATTTTGTTAGATTTATACCTAATTATTTCATGTATTTTGGTGGTATTGTAAATAGTACATAGTTTTTAAAAATTTTAGTTACCAATTGTTCATTGCTAGATTATAAAAATAGTTTTTTTTCCCCATATGCTTATTTGGTGTATATATCTTTGTCAGGGTGTCTGTTAAGGTCTTTGACTCGTTTTTTGTTGTTGTTTTTTTAAATCCTCACCCGACGATATTTTTCTATCTTCAGACAGAGTGGGAGGGGGAGAGAGAGAGAGAGAGAGAGCGTCATTGATGTGAAAGAGACACATCAACTGGCTGCCTCCCACACGACCCCATCCAGGGCTGGGGACCCAACCACAACTGAGGTACATGCCACTGAACGGAATCGAACCCGAGACTCTTTGGTCCGTGAGCCAACACTGTAACCGCTGAGCCAAACCATCTAGGGCTCGACTCATTTTTTAATCAGGTTGTTTTCTTACTGTTGAGTTGTCAGAGTTCTCTGTATATTTGGATAACAGCCCTTTGCCAGGTGTGTCATTTACAGATACTTCTCCCATTCGGTGGTTTGTCTTTTCCTTCTCTTCACGGTGTCCTTCATAGAGCAGAAACTTCCTTTTGATGAAGTCCGGTTCATATCTTTGGTGTTGTACCCAAAAAGCCAAACCCAGGGCTATCTGTATTTTCTCCTGTGTTATCTTCTAGGAACTCTGGTTTTGCATTTTACGTGTATGTCTGTGATCCATTTTGAATTCACTTTCTGTGAAGGGTGTTAAGAGTATTTCTAAAGTCAGTGTTGGGCATGTGGATGTCCCGTTGTTCCCACACCATGGGAAAGGCATGTTTATCTTTGCTCCTGAGATTCTGACCTGGTTCCATTGTGTGTGGGTCTTCCCACATCACCAAGCAATTCTCCGACACCAGCACGGTCCAACAGTTCAACTCAATTCTGACACTGTCTACATCCCTAATTTGGTATTAATGCCATCCAGTATTTTCTGTTTCAGACTTTTTTTTTTTTTAATCTCTAGAAGTTCTAGTTGAGCCCTTTTCATATTTTCCTCCCCGTTCTGGTCCCTATGGAATGTAACAGCTATTTCAACATCCTTGTCTACTAATTCTGTCATTTGTATCATTTCTGGATCTGTTACTATTGATTGGTTTGTTTGTTTTTTTGCTTCTCAATATGGGTCATATTCTGCTGTTTCTTTGAGTGCCTGGGAATTTCCTACTGAATACCCAACACTGAAATCCTTGTTAGGGACTGGATATTTTTATACTCCTTTAAATATTCTGGAGCTTTGTTCTTATTCCAATTTTACAGATGAGGAAACAGTCGCAAAGAGGTTAAGAATAGCTAGACTTGCCCTGGCCAGTTTGGTTCAGTGGTTAGAGCATCGGCCTGCAGTCCAGAGAGACCCGGGTTTGGTTCCCACTAAGGGCACGTACCACGGTTGCAGTTTGTCCCCGGCCTTGGTTGGGTTGTGCGTGTGGCAGCCACTCGATGTGTCCCTTTTACATCAATGTTTCTCTTTCTTTCTCTCTTCCTCTCTCTCTCCCTCCCATTATCTGAACAAAAAATGGAAAAATGTCCTCAGGTGAGGATAAAAAAAAAAAAATAGCTAGACTTGCCTGGCCGGTGTGGTTCACTGATTGAACATCAACCTATGCACTAAGAGGTCACCAGTTTAATTCCCGGTCAGGGCATATGCCCAGGTTGTGGGCCAGATCCCCAGTTGGGGGCATGCAGGAGGCGGCCAATTGATGTTCTCACTCATTGGTGTTTCTCTCTCTCTCTCCCTCTCCCTCCCTCTCTTTCTAAAATCAATAAAGAAAAAAATTTAAAAAGAAAGAATAGCTAGACTCACAGCCAATATCTAGGCAGAGGAAGTTGGAGGGAGTCTCCTAGTGGTTCAGAGAACAGCCCTGCCAGGGCAGAGTGTGAGAGCGATGATACATTCAGGGAAACCTTGTATTTCAGTAACAGGTAGCCAAGGGGAGGAGATGAAGCTGGAAGAGTAAGTCAGCAGTCAGGTCAGGAAGGCTCTGTACCATTGGGTTTGCGGTCACGGGTACCAAGTCAGATTTTTAAGAAATGTTCCTCTGGCGGCAGAGTAGAGGATGAATTAAAGTAGGCAGCTTCGAGGAAACTCAGAAGCCATTTCCAAATTCTAATTTATGCTTCCACCTTCCTTTTGGACTTAGGTTGCGGATCCGTCTTGAACGTAAATGGGGAAGTGGAAATGGATGCTAGTATCATGAATGGAAAAGACCTGTCTTCAGGAGCCGTGTCTGCCGTCCGATGTATCGCGAATCCCATTAAGCTTGCGCGGCTTGTGATGGAAAAGGTATGTGTGACCAAAGCACCCTTTCCTAAGGCCTAGTCACCTCTGTACTGGTGCCCAGAGGAGGTCTAACTATCGGGAAGTACTTGAGATCACTCTTCTAAAATTATATAAAAGAACAGAAGTAATGTTAAGTTTCTCAAATAAGCCTGGACTCAGACTCTGTGGACAATGTAATTTGACTGGTAATCACTTCACCAGTGATTACTTTGTTCTCATGTTACCTTCCTGTGTTCCGCCCACTCTCAACACGTAGAAGATAACAAATATGGACTGGACAGACCAACTGTTTAATAGCATGTGTTAAATAAAAATGGATTCAGTTCTCTAAATTTAAGATCATGTATAGCCCTGGCTGGGTGGCTCGGTTGATTGGAGCATATACACCAACGTTGTTGGTTCGATTCCCAGTCAGATACCTAGGTTGTGGGTTCGATCCCTGGTCAGGGCACAAGCGGAAGGCAACCAATCAATGTTTCTTTTTTTTTTTTTAATCCTCACCCAAGGATATTTCCCCATTTTATCTTCAGATGGGCGGGAGGTGTGAGGGGAGACATTGACGTGAGAGAGACATACCAACTGGTTGCCTCCCGCATGACCCAACCTGGGCCAGGGACGAACCGCAACCAAGGTACATGCCCTTGGCCGGAATCGAACCTGCGACTCTTTGGTCCACAGGCTGGCGCTCTAACCGCTGAGCCAAACCGGCCAGCGCCGATGTTTCCTTTTTTAATACAAAACTTGGAGCCAGGCTCTTTTCAACATTCAGAAAAGCAAGCCACTGAAATTTGCACATTTGAGGCTTTATACCCGGACAGGAGTAATTACCTCCACACAGTAGGAACAGTTGAAAAGATTTTAACTTTTTCGAAAGCTAGCCCAGTTTCCCTTTCTTTCCCGTGCAGACACCTCACTGCTTCCTGACCGACCGAGGTGCAGCGGAGTTCGCAGCCGCCATGGGGGTCCCAGCTGTTCCTGGGGAGCAGCTGGTCACGGAGAGAAACAGAAAACGCCTAGAGAAAGAGAAGCGTGAGAAGGGCGCCCACAAGCCAGACCAGCAGCAGTAAGTCTGTGGCCCGTGTGTGGGGACTCGCTCACGTGTAGGAGTTTGACCAGTATGTAATGCTTCCCCATTCTTCAGTAAGTCAGATATCACTCGGTAGCTTCAGCTTTTGAACAAAGTAATGCACACTAAATAATGGGAAAACCGCTCTTTTGATTCTTAAATTTAACCTCCTTTATTATCCCTACGACTAGTCAGTCACTCAGACTAGGCTGGCAGAGCTCCTGCTGCAACCTGATTTAATAGAAATTGCCCAGCCGGTGTGGCTCAGTGGTTGAGCATCGACCCATGCACCAAGAGGTTGCTGGTTCGATTCCCAGTCAGGGCACATGCCCAGGTTGTGGGCCTGATCCCCAGTGGGGGGCATGCAGGAGGCAGCCAGTCGATGTTCTCTCTCATCGATGTTTCTGCCTCTCCTTTCCTCTCTCTCTCAAATCAATCAACTAAAAAAATAGAAGAATGCCTGGTGTCACTGCATGAGCTCACTGCGGCTTCTTGACTGGTTTGCCCTTAAGTAGACCAAATGGTTCTCTCTTGGCTCTGCCTTGTGAACTTCTTTGAACTCTCTTTCATGGTGCAGAGAAATCGGCACAGCTCTTAGAGGTTCAAATTCATCATACATCCTGAGTTACGGTTTTCTGTGTTCCAGAGTTCAAAAACCCAAATAAACCCTCCCTTATTGCCCTGGCTGATTTGCTCAGCCGTTAGAGCGTAGGCCCGCCGTCCAGAGAGACTGGGTTCAATTCCGCTAAGGGCATGTACTTCGGTTGTAGTTTGTCCCCGGCCCCAATTGGGGTCGTGTGGGTGGCAGCCAGTCGATGTGTCTCTCCCACAACAATGTTTCTCTCTCTTCCTTCCTCTCTCCCTCTCGCTCTGTCTGAAGATAAATGCAAAAAATGTCCTTGGGTGAGGATTTAAAAAAAATCCTTATTTAAAACAAAATTTGGAAAATAAAATTTGACTATAGCCTGGGAGTTTATAATTGAATATCATCTATTAACTTTGCTTTTGTTTGTTTGTTAGATTTGTACTATTTAACCTGAGGTATACTTTAGTATCACCTAGGGAGTTTTCTCAAAGTAAACATGGCTGGGCCCTTTCCCTAAAGAATCTAATTGAACAGATCTGAGGTGCAGAGGCCCAGCAGGTGTATTAGGAAAAAGTTTCCCTGGTTAGGACTGTTTTACAAGGTTGGCCTTATGTTGGTAGCTGTTGATAACCTTAGCAAGTGTGCTAGTGTATCTATAGGCCAGAGTCTCGGGAATGGGGTTCCTTTGTCAATGGTTCATGTACATTGTCATAGATGTCACCACATTGTTTTCTAAAAGTTTTACGACAACACGCATCTCCACCAACCAGTATTGCTCATAGACAAAAGCAAGAAGGGTTTCTGCCCTGGGCCCTGCACTGCAGAGGACCTTCATATCACAGAATCACAGTTGGTTTGTTACAGGTACCGGAGGCACGTGCCCTCTGCCCCTCAGCAATGGCACAGCACGGCCCATGACCCTCATCATCCACTCGCATGACTAACACCATTCAGCCCCCAGGGAAACGCCTCTGTCTGTCTCTCGCTCTGTGTCCTCGAAGCACAGGCCACCTGAGTGTATTGTGGATCATGCTCTGCCGTCGTCAGAAATGGACAGTCTTTGGAGTGTGGTGAAGACTTGAACAGCGGGACTTAGGTAAGAGCAAAAGGCAAATGAGTAGCTTGTCAAATACATTCTTGCGTAACGAAGTATTGTTTCTCAGTAGTGCCAAGTGTCTGTTTTCGTTCCTTTCTGCATGTTTAAATCTGGTTCTGGGGTGTTGGTGAGTTATTGCAGCATCTGTAAGACTTGCATGTGAGGGCTGAGTCCCGTCCCTCTTAAATTTGTGTATATATGTAGATCTAGACCAGTACTGTCCAATAGAAACATGAGTGCTGTCCTTTAAAAAAGTAAAAAGAGCCCTGGCTGGTTTGGTTCAGTGGTTAGAGCATTGGCCCACGGACCAATGACTCACGGGTTCGATTCCGGTCAAGGGCAGGTACCTCGGTTCATCCCCAGCCCTGGTTGGGTCATGCGGGAGGCAGCCAGTCGATGTGTCCCTCTCACGTCAGTCACGTCAGTATCTCTCTCTCTCTCTCTCTCTTTCTCTCTCTCTCTCTCTCTCCCCCCTCCCCCTCCATTCTTCTATCCCACTCTATCTGAGCATAAATAGAAAAATATCCTTGGATGAGGATAAAAAAAATTTTTTTTAACTAAAAATAAAAAAGTAAAGCCCTGGCTGATTTGGCCCAGCAGTGAGAGTGTCAGCCTGTGGTCCAGAGAGACCCGGGTTTGGTTCCGCTAAGGGCACGTACCTCGGTTGCAGTTTGTCCCTGGCCCCAGTTGGGGTTGTGTGGGTGGCAACCAGTCGATGTGTCTCTCTCACATTACTGTTTCTCTCTCTCTCTTCCTCCCTCTCTCCCTTACACTCTATCTGAAGATAAATGCAAAAAATGTCCTCAGGTGAGGATTAAAAAAAAAATTTTTTTAATAAATAAAAGTAAAAAGAAACAGGTGAAATTAATAATATATATTTAACCCGTTATTTCCAAAATATTTCAACGTATGATCAATATAAGAACTTATTTGAGCCCTGGCCAGTTTGGCTCAGCAGCTAGAGTATCGGCCCGTGGACTGGCGAGTCCTGGGTTCGGTTCCTGCTAAGGGCACGTGCCTTGGTTGTAGTTTGTTCCCAGCCCCTGTTGGGGTCATGTGGGTGACAGCCACTCGATGTGTCTCTCTGTCTCTCTTCCTCCCTCTCTCCCTCCTGCTCTATCTGAAGATAAATGCAAAAAAGTCCTCGGGTGAGGTTAAAAAAAAAAACTTATTTGAGATATTTTATATTATTCTTTTATACGAAATCTTCAAAATAGGACGTGCACACAACACTTCCAGCACGGTCAGCATAGACTGCCCCGTCACCCGTGTTGGGCCCATGTGGCTGTGCCCGCTGGGCTGGGCGGTGCAGGTCCCCACAGAGCCTGCGTGAAGAAGCAGCTCTCTGTCAGCAACTAAGTGGACACTGAATGTTACAATTATGAATGATTTTGGTCTTATGAAAATATTTTTAAAATTTAGTTAACTTTTCAAAAGTATTCATGTTAAAATGTTCAGCTTTTAAGTAATTTTGATTTTAAATGTCATTGTAATTCATGGTTCAACTTTAATATTAATATAGATAGTTTTGTGTATTATAGGAAAACACTAACTTTCTGAAATAATATCCGCAATTTTTAATTTTCAGTGTTTTTGCTCTTTCTTTTTGATGAAAATATATTCTAATTTTATACATTATAGTTACATTTCACTTTTTAATCCCTAGATTATTGAAAACAAGTGTAAGTCTCAAGATCTTGATAGAAAAGAACACTAAAGTGGAGCTCACAAAAGAAAAACTAAGAAGAAAGAAGTAAAAAATCTTCAAGAAGCAGTCTGCTTGCATTTTGAGAAACAAAACAGTAAAAGTAAGCGGCTTTCTTCCAGGATGACCCGCATAAAATTTACAAACGGGGCGTTACAAATATGTTGTTCAATCTGAGCTTTACTGATCAAAACAATGAAAATCAGTAATAATACTGTTCTCTGCAAATTCGCACCTCGCCAGTTCAGATGAAACCCCTGCAACCTCACATTCTTCATGAAAGGAAGATTAAACTGCTAATCGCAAAGAACGTCTCGCAGAGAGGGACTCAGCGGGTCCTGGGATGAGGGAGAGGCTGAATAGACAACAGACAGTTGGTAACACTGGAAGAACAGTGATGTAAAACATCAGTGTCGTGTCCTTGAAAGAATAATGCCATGTGTCTAATATTTAGCCAAAACCGAATGATGCTTTTCATCAAACACCAACACAGTACTGTATTTACAAAAACAGCAGAGCCATGGCCAGTTTGGCTCAGCGGTTAGAGTGTCGGCTGGCAGACCAGAAAGGCCCGGGTTTGGTTCCCACTAAGGGCACGTACACCTCAGTTGCAGTGTGTCCCCAACCCTGATTGGGGTGGTGTTGGTGGCAGCCAATTGATGTGTCTCTCTCACTTCAATGTTTCTCTCTCTCTCCTCCCTCTGTCCCTCCTGCTCCATCTGAAGATGGATGCAAAAATGTCCTCAGGTGAGGACAAAAAACAAACAAAAAAAACCATGGAAATTTTCTAGGTTTAGTAACGATTTCAAAATTTGATAAGATGCCAAACATGCAATTAGGATAAAAAATAATGAAACTAATGATCACTATCTAGAATAGAGAATACAAACAGACTAATTGAATTGGGTAATAAGTGAGAGCTGAAATCGTATGTAAAATTTTTTAAATACTCAGTCCAACGCACATGTTCCAGGACAAGAAGACATGTTGGACAACTAACATGCATCGTTACATTACCCGGAGAAGAAAAAAGTTAATCATTGAGCATGTCATTGACTTTCCACCTGCTTTTTAAAAGTGTTTTGAATGAAGAGGAGAATTGGGGAAAACTTATCTAAGACTACAATTAATTTTAAAAAGCGGTCAAAGGCAAGCACGGCGACAGAGCTGGCGTGGTTGGTAAATAAAAGGTAGATAAGCGTGAAATTTGCCGAGAATCCAGACGTGTTCTGTGTGACGTGTGCAGTCACAGCTTGACTCTTTCTAGGAGACATGCCGTCAGCTACGCCAACAGTGACTGATGCGGGACGACTTTCTGGGTCTGCCCGGAGACGGAACAGCTTGCTTAGGCCGTGCCTGGCTTTACAACGAATCCCTGGCACGTGGCGGGACCACCAGGTGACTGCCCCTGAAGTAATTCAGTTCAGTTTAGATAAGAGTTGATCAAAACCACAGAAGATTCTCAGAGAACAAATCGCGGACTTTAACAGAGTGAAATTAATTTTGAGTTTATGGTAGCTACAGTTACTTAGTTTGAACCTTTCATTTCTGTTGATAAGCCTAACAAAAGCTTTGAAAACGTCCAAGTCTGAAGGTTTCAACAAAACCAAAACTGCATGTGAAATATGCAAGAAGAATGGCATTCCGATAAAATAGAAGGAAACAAAAATATCGGCCTGACCTGGAGAAGATTGGTGTACAAAATCCTGAAACCAGTTTCTATAGAGGCTATTTTTCTGTTCATTATATATCAGAGTATAGTATCATTTGAAGAGAGATTTGAACAACATAACTTATTTTCAGTTTTCTTTAGAGTATATCAGCATTGAAATTGGAAAGAACTGCATGGGTCTAAATACTGCTTGAGAGATGATGAAAATGTCAATAAGTGATTGTGATGTATATGATCAAATTAAAATAGTAGTATCTTCTGTGATAACAGTTTATCATGCGCAATCCCATATAGCATTTGAGTGTGATAAGGTTAAAATCAGGATTCATGGAAGCCCAACTGGTGTGGCTCAGTGGTTGAGCGTCGACCCATGCACCAAGAGGTCGCCAGTTCGATTCCCGGTCAGGGCACATGCCCAGGCTGTGGACCCGATCCCCCATGGGAGGCATGCAGAGACGGTCAATCAGTGTCCTCTCTCATCGATGTTTCTATCTCTCTCTCCCTCTCCTGTCCTGTCCTCTCTAAAATCAATGAAGAAAAAAAAAATCAGGATTTATTTCCGAATCTAAGTATTGCTTTAAGACTTCTGTTGAGAAGTCCAGTGGTTTCTGCCTCAGCAGAGAGAAGCTTCTCTAAACTGAAATGAATCAAAAACTTGCCAAGAGCTCCTTCGGCTCCAGAAAGGGGGTGTTTGGCACCTCCTCTGTGGGATGTGTGTTGAATAGAATGTCAATTATGAGAACATAACCAGTGCTCTCTGATATGAGGCAAGGAAAATTAATTTTATGGAATAAAGACACAATTTATGTAGTGTGTGTGTGTCGGTGTGTGTGTGTGTGTCTTTTTCACTCATCCAGGCGTCCCCAGCTGATCAACAAAGGATCCAGATGTGAACACTGGTAACTTAGTCATCACTGGTACTTTCATATGAAAACCATAGCTTTACAGTATTTGAGATACACGTATCACGAATTCATGACTACTAGATGTGAAACATGGAGTATGGTCCTCCATTCGTGTTTGCATTCTTGCTTTGACCCCTTGCACCTGTCGGGGTGGGCTGCCACCAGCACTGACCGCAAGTACTTCTTATGTGACACAGGAACAAGGATGTTGTCATTTAACAAGTCTGAGCATTTTGCATTTGTGGATCAGTCCTTTTTTTTAAATCCTCACCCAAGGATATGTTTTTTCATTGATTCTAAAGAGAGGAAGGAAAGCGAGAGGAACATTGATGTGAGGAACATCAATCAGTTACCTTGCACACATGCCCCAACCACCCAGGGATCAAAGCCACAATCTGGACGTGTGTTCTGACTGGGAATTGAACCCGAGACTCATGCACCGGACGATGCTCCAGCCCCTGAGCCACACCAGCCAGCGCATGTGGGTCATTCCTTTCAGTGAATTTGCTTATTTTTGTCCTGTGATCAATTTTCTCTCTAGTTTTGTCTCCTTATCAGTCTTAAAGCTGTCTCCTCTGTTAAAACTTTTCCCAAATCTGGTTTTGTTTTGGGGTTTTTTCTAATCCTCACCCAAGGATATGTTTTTACTGATTTGAGAGAGATAAACATCGATGTGAGAGAAACACTGATCAGTTTCCTCTTGTACGCACCACAACTGGGGATTGAACCCACAGCCTAGGTATGTGCCCTAACTGGGAATCAAACCCAAAACCTTTTGGTGTACAGTCGTCCCTCGTTTATCACAGTTAATCCGGTCCAGACTCTAGTGGTTGCACCTGGTGTTGAAGGATTCCTGGGGTGCTCAAATACATAGGCCTACAGTCCATACATACAGTGATTTTAATTTTAATTGTAATACAGGGGTGTATAATTGACTCAGACAACCGAGCGTGCACTGTATCATTTTCACTGTCTCAACTTTTTAATGAATATATTTGAAAAAAGCGCAATAAGAGTGAAGTCACGAAATTCGAAGCATGAAATGGCGAGGGACAACAGTATAGGGACAGTGTTTCAACCAACCAAGCCACTCGGCAAGGGCCCAAATCTGTTGTTAATCTTGCTTTTACTTTGCTTATGGTATTTTGCCAGTCCTGCCAGTCTCCCTTCACAGCGCCCCAAGTCCAGCCTTGTCACCATCCCCTGAAACTACCCTCACGAGCCACCGTCTCCGGCCGGCTCACTGGCCTGTGTCCACTCCCGCCCCCTCCGTCAACACACAGCACCCAGAGCAGAGGTTTCAGGGTGGGCTTGTTGGAGAAGGTACAGCATACGCGTGGAAGTGCACACATCACGTGTGCACCTGGATGGACGTTCTCGGGGTGGGCTCCCGTGTGATCCACACGCAGAGAAAGAAATAGAGCATAGCACAAACTTCCCCTCAGGCCCCTCCTTTTTTTTTACTTACTAAAAGCAAACATTTACTTCAAATTGCAGTGTAGACTTTTCAGTCACAAAAAGAAAGAAGGAAAGTGATCTGACTGTGGTCACATCCTGTGTGAAAAACTGGAGATACCACTCAGCTGATTTCTCTCACTTGGATTAGCGTTGTCCGTGCAGTGTGTTTCCACGGCACCCGTGGCACGTGTTGATTCCCTTGGGTGGACGTGGCGTCGTTCTCAGGCTGCGTTACCACGAAGCACTGCTGCGGACACTGCGCACTGTGCACGCGGCTGCTGTTTCTGTCGGACAGGACGTGGGTGTGCCATCGCCACGCCAGCCTAGGCAGAGGCCCGGAACAGCTTCAGGGGTGGGGGGTTGTGCGTTGCCTTCTGCCGCTGAGTGAGATTTTCAGCCCTGCACATCCTGGCCCACACGCAACACCAAGTCTTTCATTTTAGCCACTTGTGGACCGGTGTAGTGGTGAGAACCATGCTTTCTAAAACTTCGCTCATCGTCGACCCAGGCACCAAGAGGTCACCGGTTCGATTCCCAGTCAGGGCACATGCCCAGGTTATGGGCCCGATCCCCAGTGGGGGGCATGCAGGAGGCGGCCAATCGATGTTCTCTCTCATTGATGTTTCTACTCTCCCTCTTCTTTCCTCTCTCTCAAATCAATAAAGAAAGAGGTTTGGTCGGTTGCAGTTTGTCCCTGGCCCTGGTTGGTCGTGCGGGTGGCAGCCACTCGATGTGTCCCTTCACATCGATGTTTCTCTCTCTCTCTCTCTCCCTCCCGCTCTATCTGAACAAAAAATGGAAGAATGTCCTCAGGTGAGGATAAAAAAAAAAAAAGGTTTGGTTTTTTTTATTATAATATAAAAATAATAAAACTTTGCTCATACTGTGACACATCTCGCCAAACTCCCCTGTGTCTTCCCATGTCACTCAGTAAAGTAAGTAGGATGACCGTACGGTTTCGTGTTCCAACTGGGACTTAATGTTGAGAGGGGAAGGAGCCACTGAGCCAGAGCAGCAGCATAACTCAGGACTGACTTGGTCACCCCACCGGTCGGAGCCTCCCACACACCCCTCGCTTTCTTCTCTCCAGCCACAGTGGCCCCCCTGAACTTCCGCGAACTGAGCATCACGTTCCTGCTTCGGGGATGTTCTTCGCAGCAGTCAGAGTGGCTCACCCCTCAATTCCTTCAGACAGGCCCTAAGTAAAGCCACACTGCTCCACCAACGCTCCCCTCGTGCCGCTGCAGTCATCTTAGGTTTCATGGCTAGTCAGGAGAATCCGGAGTTTTTATTGCTGTCACCCTCTGCCCCCACTGCAGCCGCACGGGAGATGGGACAGCGTCCCTTTGGTTCGCTGCTGTGTCCTAGCACTCAAAAAGATTCCTCCAGCCCCGGCCGGTTTGGCTCAGCGGTTGGAGCGTCGGCCCTGGGTTCGATATGGGTCAAGGGCGCACATACTTCAGTGCCGGCCCTGGTCAGGTTGTGCGGGAGGCAACCAGCTGATGTAGTTCTCCCTCTCCCTCTCCCTCTCCCCCTCCCCCTCCCCCTCCCTCCCTCTCCCCCTCCCCTCTACTCTCCCTCATCTGAAGATAAATGGAAAAATATCCTCAGGTGAGGATTTTTTTTTTAATGCCTCCAGCATAGTTCATTCTAGAATCTGGATGGTGGATATGTAGCTAACATGCAGTTAGTTTCTTCATCTTTTCTACTTTGATTTATAACAAAATGGTTGGGGAAATGATCTTATTTCATCTTTACAGCAAAAACTCTCAATTTCGGGGGGGGGGGGGCACAAGACCCTGGGAATTCTCATTTGCACTCGAGTTGGAGATGCACTGTTATTTTTATCCCCGGTTCATAGACGGGGAAAATGAGACAATAAAACTTCACTTAGTCACACAGCCAGAGAGTGGTGGTGCCGGGACTGGACGTGCCCTTAGCGTGTGAGTCTAAAGGAAGGTCTCGCAGTCTCGCTGACTCGTCGAATAAAAAGCAGACGGGCTTTCTCTGCCTTCCCGAGTCAGGCATGTCGGATGGAGTCCAGGTGTGTCCCATTTGCAATCTGCATAAAATGTGGACATCTGCAGGTACTGAGCTACATTGTTACTCATCCTCATCCTGTCGTTTGTGTTTCTTTTTTGCAGAAACTTGGGAACCGTGGGTGCTGTCGCCTTGGACTCCAAAGGAGATGTGGCTTACGCGACCTCCACGGGGGGCATCGTGAATAAAATGGTCGGCCGAGTGGGGGACACTCCCTGTATAGGTAGTCCTGGCCAGTGACCCCTGCCCTCTCTTTCCTTCCCCTGCATCAAGTTCTTCCTCTGACTTGACCGCTCTCCTCTGCCTTCATTACAGTTGCTGGGAGTGGCAGCTGGGTTGGAGGGGACATTTGCTGTGCTGCTTTGTATCCAGCAGGCACTCTCTTTCCTCAAGGACACGGCTGTTGGGTGACTTGGGGAGGGAGATGGGTGGTGGTCAGGATGCCCTCAAGCTACCAAGTCCCTCTTTCTCCTCTCTAGCTCCAGTTTCAGGATCCACAGACTTAGTCCCAACGGGTTAACTACACAAAACCCCTTGCCAGGCACAGGCTCGAATTAATGAGCTAAGAACGCTGAGAATTTAAGTTTGCAGTTATTAGGTGTTAGCAGTATGGACGTGACACAGTGTTGCTACGGAAATGTCACAAGTTAAAATGCTCTTTGCATTGGGATTGAAGCAGATTCTAATTCCCAGGAGTGGGTGAGTGGTGGGGCTGGGTGGCATGTTCCAGCCTGTGCAGACTGGGCAGATCTGGGGCAGAGGAGGAGCTGTCCTGGTGTAGCTGCTCCAGGAAGGTCAGGCCCACACCTCCCCACCCCACCCCCAGGTTCCCTTCCTCCCCCTGACTTCACGGCAGTCACGTGGTGCTTACTAGCCTACCTTTGCACCCCAAGGTCATGGCTCCTCCTCTGACCTTTGCCTGTACTTGGGGGTTGGACATTTATGTAGCATTGGACCTGTAACACGTGTTTGAACGTCTTCACTCTTGCTCAGGCAGCCCCGACCCTTTTCTCTGCGCAGGATCGGGAGGCTACGCTGACAACGACATCGGAGCCATCTCGACAACGGGGCACGGGGAGAGCATCCTGAAGGTGAACCTGGCCAGACTCACTCTCTTCCACGTCGAGCAGGGTACGTGGACCAAGTTTATACTGTCTGGAGACGAGTGAATAGAAGCTGGTTATAAATAGATGGAGAGCCCGGCTGGCGTGGCTCAGTGGTTGAGCGTCGAGCCATGCACCAAGAGGTCGCCGGTTCGATTCCTGGTCAGGTTGTGGGCCAAATCCCCAGTGGACGGCACGCAGGAGGCGGCCAGTCAATGTTCTCTCTCATCGATGTTTCTCTCTCTCCCTCTCCCTTCCTCTCTCTAAAATCAATAAAGAAAAAAATTGTTTGAAAAAAATAATAAATAGTTGGAAAAAGATCTAAACCCTTTCTCCTTTGCTACACACATACTGCTGTCAGGTTAGCCCGATGTTGACTCTTCCCTGCCTTCTGTTCAGATCTGGACTTGGGTCTGTTACATGTCAGGGGCAGCAGGGGGCAGCAGAGAGACTCAACCTGGCTGGGGAGAAAGGGCAGCTCCCCTGGGCCTCAGCGCCAGGGGGCCTTGTATGGCCACCGTCCTTATTTGAAGCACTCTAACAGAAATCTACCAAGAATCCCTGTCCACTCACTTTGACTTTTCATACTGCAAGTGATTTTTCCATCCGATTCCTTTGAAAATAAATTGTTGTTTCTCAACTCTGTTTTCAGGAAAGACATTGGAAGAGGCTGCTGATGTGTCGTTGGGTTATATGAAGTCCAAGCTCAAAGGTCTAGGTGGTGTCATCTTGGTCAACAAAGCAGGAGACTGGGCAGTGAAGTGGACCTCTGAGTCCATGCCCTGGGCGGTCGCCAAGGACGGCAGGCTGCACTCCGGCATCGACCTCAACCAGACAAGTGTCACCGACCTGCCCTAAGCCCCGAAGACTGTATCCCAGACGCTGGCCTGCAGGCAAATGCGCTTCCTGGTGTGGAGACTTAGCTTCATCAATTAGAGCGAGAAATGGAAAAATTCTACAGTCTGTCACTTGTTTTGTTGCCTTAATAAGTATCTAAATGTTTGGTGAGGCGCAGAGTCCAAAGTGATGAGAGAAATGCCCACAGTAAGATCAAAGTAAGGAGCGAAGATGAGAAACTCGGAGCCCTTCCCTGGGCCGGTCCCATTGTCTTAGGTGGGAAGGAAGACACTGCCGGTGCAGGGAGAGCCTTTGGAACTGGGAGACCGCACCGCAGTGCCCGCTGCCCCACCCCAGGCTGCCCGGCTCGTGCTTTCTGGCGGGACCCAGGGGCGAGGTGGGAGGGGGGAGCCCATGGAGGTGTCTGAGAGCGAGGCAGGAGCCGTGAGAAAGTGAACTGACTTTTCTAAGAAAGTTCAGCTCTTCGCTGACTTACTAACAACAGAGATGTTTCCAGAGACTTTCAGCGGACCCTCTGGTAACCCATAGCTCCCTAATCTTGGGATGAAGGGCCGTCGTGGGGAGTGTGGCCAGAGCTCCTTCAAGTCTGAGAGTTTTCCTGGGCTCACATGTGAGCCTGTTCAGGACGTTTTCCCCACTTGGCCAGCACGGCCACTCGAAGCCAGCCTCTGCGGCTGCAGACCCCCTGGGCCCTCACAGTGACCTCTCCGCCTCTCCTAGGACAGGGAGGGCCAACCAGTGCACAGAGGACTCGGTGGCTGTGACATAGTGTGATCTTGTACCGCCCAGCTCTGTGCCCCCCCACACACACTGAACTTCGCGTGAGTCTGTGTGGTCAGCGTGGGGAAGAAAGACATTTGCATGGTGGAGAGCATCCTCTTCCCCTCTCTGCACTGGAACGGTATTTCTGCTGTGACATAGCTGCCCAGTCTTTTAGTTTGTCAGGGCTTACCTTCTCTCTGGAAAGAAATTGCTTAACTTTAAATTCCATGTGCCACTAATAAAATGTATTTTGAAAGAATAACAGCGTGGTTAGGCGTCACTGTTGACAAAGACCAGAATGTGCAAGAGTTCCCCTTGGTCTGTCAGTGCAGACAGGTATACCCGTTCAAGACCTTTAAGGTGAGGGTGGTGTGTGGAGTGACCATCTGCCCTGCCTCGTGGAGTACCTGCGAGAGTTTTCCAGAACAGCTTTTCCTGAGCAGGTTCAGGAGAAACCAATCGAGTGTTTGCAGGAGGGTTCACGGCTCAGTCTGCTGGCACTCAGCCATTGCTCACACCAGACAGCCACATGGCCTGGCTCCTGCCCCTCCCTGGGCCCACGTCAGGGGCTCGGAACTAAAGGGAGAGATGGCACTTGGAGGCAGAACCAAGCTGCATGTCGCCGGTGGCTCTGGGCAAGTTAACTTCATCTATAAAATAAATCACTATGAAGAGTACATGAAATTAAGGAATTGCTCAGTGGCCCTGGCTAGTTGGTTGAGCATTGTCCCATGCACCAAAAGGTCACCCATTCAATTCCCGGTCAGGGCACATGCCCTGGTTTCTATTTCAATAGGGGGCAACTGACTGATGTATCTCTTGCACATCTCTCTCTCTCTCTCTCTGTTCCTCTCCCTCTAAAATCAATAAAAACATATTTTTAAAAAAAGAATTGCTTAGTGTTTACCTTCAGAAGCCTATGGACAAAGTAGAAACTGGCCAGGCCCAGGAGGAAGCCTATGTGTTTATGTCCTTAAAAACCTCACCATGCAACAACTGCCCTTAGAAATAAGGGTTTTGTTGGCAGGTTTTTAGTTTGCTAGTGCTGCCAACACCAAAATCTCCCAGACAGCGGCTTAAACACAGTTATTTTGTCAGAGTTCTAGAGGCTGGAAGTTCAAGATCAAGGTGTCAGCAGGTTCGGTTTCTCCTGAGGCCTCTCTGCTTGGCGTGCAGACGGCCACCTTCTCACTCTGTCCGCCAGTGGCCAGCCTTCCCTCCTCATGAGGATATCAGTCAGATTCAGTTAGGTCCCACCCTCATGGCCTTGGTTTGACTTAATCACCCCTTCAGAGGCCCTGTCTCCAGCCCTGGCTAGTTTGGCTCAGCATTTAAGAGTGTTGGCCCTCAGACCAAAGCATCACGGGTTCAGTTTCTGGGTTGCAGGTTTGATTTCTCAGCCCCGGTCAGGGTTGTGCAGGAGGCAACCAAACCAATGTGTCTCTCTTCCATCGATGTTTCTCTCGCTCCCTCCCTCCCTTCCACTCTACCTAAAAATCAATGAAAAAAAATATCCTCGCCCTGGCCGGTTTGGCTCAGCTGTTAGAGCGTCAGCCTGCGGTGCAGAGAGACCCGGGTTCGGTTCCCGCTAAGGGCATGCACCTCGGTTGCAGTTTGTCCCTGGTTGGGTCGTGCGGGTGGCGACCACTCAATGTGTCCCTTTCACGTCGATGTTTCTCTCTCTCTCTTCCTCTTCTTCTTACTCTATCTGAACAAAAAAATGGAAAAATGTCCTCGGGTGAGAATAAAAAAATAAAATATCCTCAGGTAAGAATTAACAACAACAAAAAAAATCCCACAAAGGCCCTGTCTCCAAATACAGTTTGGGGTTAGGGCTTCAACATAGGAGTTCTGAGGGGACACTGTTCAGGAGTGTCGGGAGGCAAAGCAGAATTACTTCAGGGTTTGGGAAAGGAGAGACCCTTAGGAGAAGGTAAGGGTTAAGTAGAAAAGGAAACAGGAAGGAAGGGAGACAGGGAGGCCAGCTGAAAGATCTGATGCACACTATGAGTTCACAAGGGAAGTGACTCTAGTTACCAGAGGCTGCTGGAGGCTCAGCGCCGGGCCCAAGCAGCCCTGTTGAGTGTGGCAGCCCCTTCGGGCAAGCCAAGGTGTGGATCGGGGTCCTGGACCTTGGTTCTGTGAACAGCCACCTCCACTAGCCTGGGAAGTGCGAACGCAGAGACCATGCATGGGTCTCTCTTTTGGCCCGCGCTTTGTCCCGTGGCCTTGCTTGGTAACTGCCAAACAAATAAATGAGCAAGATGGTATCTGAAAGAGAATGACAATGTTTTCCTCACTTCTGAACCACAAGAGGGCAGCAAACTATAAAAAGTCCAAAGGTTTCCTCCGCCCAGAGCGGAGGTCATTGATCTTGGTTCTGGATCAGAACCACCAACTCAGAAAACATAAAACCAAAAGAGGGTTCCTGGTCCCAACCCTCAGTCCATCCAAATACTACAATCTATTTGAGAGCAAAATTGTCCAAAACGCAAGCAAAGGCCCCACAAAACCCGTCAAGTCAAGTCCACCACGTCTGACGCGAAACCACTGAAGCCTGCTCCGCAGGGCAGCTGCCAGACGCGACCCCAGGGGAGCACGCTCGGCCTCCCAGCCTCTGCCCTCTGCTCCTTCCAGCCAGGAATGCAGATACATTGTAACTTGGCCTCAAACTGCTGAAATCCTGGGATAATAAGGAGCACAAGAGAGGCCAGAGCCCAGCGAGTCTGCCCCGCAGTCAGCCCGCCCTGTCGGAGAGTTAACCCTGTAGCTGTTGCACAATAAATGTTTTTTCAAATAATGTTCTTTCTCGACGTGTACCCTTCTAGCATGCGAGTCTCTAAACTCTGAGGGCGAAAATGGAGCGAGATGCGCTTCAGTCTTCATCAGCGTCCCTCTCGTCAGAAATGGATGGATGTGGGAAGCTGGCAGGGGACATGGTCCTTCCAGCCCACACCTCCTCTGTGGTCCTCCATCAGCCCAAAACCATCCCCGCATTCACGCTTTGTAGCAACGTGGAGCGAGCCAAGACATGACCCCGCAGAGCTTGTCCAGCTTACTTACAGGTGTCCCTCCCTCCCTCTGCAGAGGTGTAGACATGACCCAGAAAGAAATAGGTGCTGGGCTGAAGGCCAGAGGCAAAACCAGGTGTAGGAATGGGCTCAGGAGGAGATGTGGGCCTGGACCACAGGTCGGGTTGGGGCGGGGGGTGCAGTGGTGCAGGTGCCCATTCATGGTCCCATCCAGAGTATAAATACCATTGAGACCCAAATGGACAAGCAGCCTTTCTGCCTTACCCCACCCCACATACGTGCATCCAAAAAGAGAAAATGGAGTTTCCTCCAGGGCATCCATCCCACTCAGGCTACACTGAGGTGTATCTCACTCTCCCTGTTCCCCAATCCTGCGGACCAGGAGTGACAGTCCTCACGTCATTCGTGGCTACCAGCCCCCCACCAAGACAGGGGCAGCCCAAAAGCGCTTCAGGTGAGAAGCAGGGAAGAATACCTTTTGGGGGGGGGCGCAACTTTATCCTTCAAATCCTGCTCTTTTTTTCCAACCCACTACTAAAATGAAGTTGGATTTTCAGACAGTAAGAGGTCTGGGCCATGCATGGGCTGGGCCAATAGAGGAAACCAGGCTGAGCTGCTTTTTTTTTTAAATCACTGGTCATCCCAGAGCTAACTACTTGCTGGGCAGTTTCAGCACCGCCCGGATCCTGTGCAGCTCGGGGGCCAAGCAGTGGCTGTGGGCAAAGGGGAAAGAGGCTGGCTCCCCAGTCCTGCAGCCAGAGGCTCCACCACGCACGCCTGGTTCCCACAGCCTCGGGTTGTTACTTTGCAGGGAAGCAATGTTTTACTGAACGTTTTTCAGTCAAAAACAACCTTTTCATACAACTAAAGGGATATAGCTGCATTGTAGAAGTTGGAAAAACTAAATTAACAATAGCGCGAATTTTTAAATAAGTGTGAGAAAATAGATCCACAAAAATAAGAGATAATGGGGAAAATGGCCTAGCACCCTACAAATGTCACTGTTAACGCCGGATTCATACGTATTTCTTTCCAAAATGAGACCATGCTGTGCATGCTGTTGGTTTTTATTTTGGGTAACCACTCTTCCCCATCAAACTTTCACCGTAGGTGATAGTCAATATTCAAATTTCTGCCATTTTCTCCAAAAGGCCCCAACAGCAGGTCTGGCCAGCCCCGCCCCTTGCCTCGACTGGTGATCGTGCCGTTGAGGCTCGGAAGTGTTGGCTAGGCCAGGCCCCCAGGCCACACCTTCCGCATTGGGCAGGCTGCCCCTTCGTGGCACAGTGAGCATTTGGCCAGAACATGTCACGAGGCTGAGCTCCCGGCAGGACATTGCAAACATGTCCCCGTCCCTTCTGCCGCAGGCGCCTGCAGCGCTGGGCTGTGGGAACAGGACCAGCTTACGGTTTGGAAAGGAAAATGGGGGTTGGGCCAAAAGCACGGGGTCCACCCAGAAGTTTGGCAAAGAGTGGCTTGGAGTCGGAAGAGCAGGTGGGGAGCAAGTGCGCCCCATGCAGCCACCAGGAAAGGACGGGCCACCACCCGTCCTGCTGGGAGCTCCCTGGTGCCTCTTCCCTGGTCACTTCCTCTTCCCAGCCAAACACCAACCTTTCCCCTGGCCTGACCTGCCACACAATAAGCAATATCTACCCCAAGTGCCCCCTGGGCAAAGGGCAGTTTTCAGAAGCATCCAGCCATGGGTAGATGCCAGTTCCCACCAGGTCCAGGAATATATACCAGGGGTGAGAACAAAGGCTGGGGTTCTCTTGCCTTTGAGAGTAACGTTCTGCTGTCCACGCAAGGCCAGATAAGGTTCTATCTGGATGTCAAGTATTTAATCTTTTACAAAGTCAGAAAGATCAAGGCGAATTCTTCCCTTCCTCCCCGCTCCGTCTGCTCTCCTCCCCTCCTGGGCCCACTCAGCTCACTCTGGGCCCACATGCTTCCCCTGTGACCTCACCCCAACTCGCCCGAGGCCTCCCCAATCTTCCCAGCCATCTCCCTTCATCTGATCTTGGCTTTTGCCCAGATATCACACCCTGGATGCCTCATGACTGAAAACTCTGCCGCTTCTTCCCCCTTCCCCACCCTGCCTTCCTTGGAAATTCCAGCATGGTTCGTCAGCTGTGTCCAGAACAGCAGAACGGTCAGGACACAGGGTAGGGCACCCGCAGAACTGAGTCTCCCGGCACACCCAGCACTCCCAGCCCCGAGCCCTGACTTGGACGTGCACAGGAAACAGGCGTCCAGATGCTGAGAAGGCCGCGTCTGCCTTCCTGTTACCGGAGCGCCCCACGAGTGTGTTTGCCCCGAGTTTCAGTCTGCAAGGCCTTCGCTGGGGCCTGCTCTGCGGTGGCCTCCTCGGGAAGGGGCTTCGTCCCGTTTGGGAGCAGAGGTCCAGCACAGCTTCCTGTCTCTGAGCCGAGGCACCGTTGTCCTGCGGGTGTGGGCAGAACGCTCCAGGCTCCTCTCGAACCCACAGGCAGGGCCACCTGCCCTTCCCGGGGTCAGCTCGCTGGGTGGGGCCCAGTGCAGGCAGGACCTGCTCCAGCCACTTGGCTGCCACCCTAGCCTAGCCGGGCTGAGACCTCGGGCCCCTGCACCGCAGACCGCCCAGCTTCTGAGCCTGCCTTGGCGTCAAGCCTTCCCATGGGGGCCACTTGGGTGGCAGCTGGGCCAGTGCTCAAGTCTGAAGACAGAAGAATGAGGCCCCCCACCTCGTTCCCTGG